AAAAAAATTCAGGAGACACGTGGTCGTCATGTCGACCTTCCTTGACAATGAATAAATAAATAAATGAAGATTTTGTTATTTAACAGGGCAGCATATATAATTAACGTAGCATGAGGCAAGGTGTCATCCAGGCCTGGACACTGGAGGTCATATAGGAAGGTGACAGAACGGTGCCAGCACATTTCCATAGAGGTAATGTGCACATATCGTTCTTTTTAAAGCAAAAATTAATTTAACTGGGAGTTTCAATTTTTTTTACTACATGCATAGTTGTTACGTCTTTACGCCTATGAAAACATTAAAGTCATAATAAAAACATAAAGCTATTATTATCGCGGTGAGCATAGCGTTACGTACACAAGATATTGGATGTTCTTTGATTGCGGTAGCTGCGCCGCATTCCTAGCGCAATAAGTGCAATCCATTTGATACACGATTGTGACGAGTTTAATTTATGATTCGAGTAGGTGAAGATAACGTGAACAAGTGTTTTTATAAACAAGGCTTATAAACAATGCATGTTACCTTACCCATGATAATAAATAGTGGGATGGTCAACACAACGTATAGATATTAGTATTTCCCCAAAGCAATATAGGCCTACGTGCACCTACAGTTAAACCCAAATTATAGTATCGCGGGCATTAACAACTAATAACTCAACACATTCCAAAACATGAACATTCCGTACTGAATTCGGCTTCGACAAAAAACAAAATTGTGGTAAATATTTAGGCTGGAAATCGAATCTTGCGGAGTACTACTTCTCCATTATAACACAGTGACTTACACTCGTTGCACATGCTAGACATATAACTACCCTAGGTTCTAGATTTCAGTTTTGCCAGCTCGATCTTGATTTCATATATATACTACATAGATATTGCTCCAACATTTTTTGAAAAAAAAATAACCCGTTTTCTTCAGAGTTCATCACTTTAGTGTTATGGGTAAATGTACCGTTTTCGCCTTTAATCAGAATATCATCACGGTCACATAACATCCCTAGGTATGTATGCTTACAGTGGGTAAAACGTGATGGGCAGATCTAGAGAGAAGAGGGGGGACAGATTTTATTGAATTGAGGTCCCCAGAGACTTGTATTCCCATTTAATATGACGTTGATTTATCAAACTATTCAGCGCAGGTGGTGGGAAATATTTCTTTTATTTACTGCCTCACAATGCGATGACGTCAACAGAGACCAACAAAAAAGGGAATTCCCCTAAACTTACGATGATATATGTACTTGCAAGCAATAGATGTAAAAAAAAAAAAAAAAACTTTTTTAAACTTTCACTTATTAGCAATAATCGAGTGCACACATATCGTCTGCTGAGTCTCGCAAAACTCTGTAGAAAATGTATTTGGATAAATGTTTGATTAAAGCTAAAATATCAAGGTTGTTTATCACGTGACACTATGTCGATAGCTTTCACCAACAAATACAATAAGACTACTCAAAACAAATAGGAAATAGCGAGAAGAAAGGAGATGAATAAGCATTTTGCCTCGCTATAATCACTTGTGGAAACTCGTTTCTTCATTTCAACATTTCAAAGCATAAAATCACTCACCTTGTCAGGAACAACCGTCTGCCCTGACGACACTGGCACGACAGGTGTGGTGTTCACTTCTAATAATAGGAATGTTGGGAAAACCCGTTTTCAAACAGAGGCGGCTACCTTTTTTGTAATCACTTTGATAAATAAAGAGAAAATGAAACAGACACATGGTTTATTTCCTAATAGTCGTTGGGAATGTTCACTAGTAAACACATCTAACTCAATGAGATGTGACCAGATCTGGTGCTGTTCAAGTACAAAACTCAATTTGTTTTACAAGACATTCAAATGTCTATATATTGAGTACAGGGTTTGGGATCTGATTCTCCTATTTACTGCCTCACAAAGGTATGACGTCAGAGATCAACGAAGAGAAACGATTCCCTTGAACTAATTCATCATACTTCCCTTTTATGCGATATAAGTGCATAATGTTGAAAGGAACGATTGTTATTTGATGAACTTAAGTACCCCCGCTTAACACGTGATAGTACAGTGATATTAGTCAACAATTTTCCTGCTTAATACTACCTTTACCCATATTAACAGATCACTGCGATCTCGGCACGGATGTTCATATATTGATTTTAAGGCGGCGCCTGAACTGAGACAGGCTGTGTTGTACGGATTCACAGCTTTCGTGTCTTCTACATTTTGTTTTCAAATGAAAACTGTTGACTTTTTATATTATTTATTTATTTATTTATTTATATATTTATTTATTTATTTATTTATATTTTGAACAGCCTGTGCACTTGGTCATAGATGATATTACACCGTCCCTGTACAGATGATTAAACCTTAGTTTTATTCACATGCATGGATTTGACGTTGCGTGTTTTCTTGGGTGCTTTAAACGTAAATAGGTTCTTGCACCGACAATTTATCGATATTCTTGGAAGCCGCTCAGAGGGTGTACAGCATCTGCACTGGGACGGAAAGGACTCGGTGACAAACCGATATTTTCTCGACCTGACCTGGCCTTATAGGGGAAATATCACGGCACCGTACATAAAGTACACCAAGGGCGTCCATACCGTGAGCTTGATATCACACAGTCAACTTCTTTCTATTAACATTAGTTTTAAATTCCTTGAGTCATCGTTTCACATTTTATAACCACTTGTCTTATTTACACCCAAAGCCAGTGGTGTCATGCACATATTTAATGGAATGAGTATCTTAAACCAAAAAACCTACATCCTGTTTTAACTAAATGCTCTGTGTTCTGGTGTTTACTCTGCACAATACATATCACGTAGACGGTCTGTAGGATTTACGTGAGGTGCATAATCATATATGTATAAGCCTTTTCAAAATCGATAACCGTATACATCCTCACAAAAACTCCCTTCTAACAACTGTTTTGTTATCATGACGCTCTGTCTGAAAATAGAAACTATATTGAGTAAAATAGTAGTGTCCCTGACCCCCCCTTTTTTTTCAAAAGCTTAAATTACCAAGTACATAAATTATGTGATATCCATAGGGTGTATGTACAATGCCCGTATGTCCCGCGGGGGTTGTATACGAAATCCTACGGATTCACGGTAACTTCCAAGATTTTGCCACACGAAAAATGTTGACATTAAATTTCAAACTGTTGGCCTCTAGGTCGTAGATGACATTGCCTACATTCCGTTCGGGCATTGTTCAGGGGAGGAACTAGGTTTATATGAAGGGGGGGGGGGGGGTCGCGGATGCAGTGCCGACCCCCCACCTCCACCCCCCACCCCTTAACGTAGGATTCAGGGCCCGGTGAAGGCACCCGAAAAAACTGGGTATTTTAGAGGGCAAATGGTGTCATTTGGTACGGTTTAGAACTATGATAGTCAAACATTCTAATTTCAATAGACGACCATTGGTGTGATTTTTTTTAGAAATCGAAGGGCGGTCAGGACCCCCCTGACATCCCACTGCATCCGCCACTGTTGTTTGGTGGACTTGCGCTGATCGATCGTGATAATAGTTGAACATTATTTTGTCCCTTTTACTTTCCTCAAGGTAGTTAAATAAGGCACATTATATAGCAATATGTCTTAAACTTAGTTTTATACACATGATTGGGTTTGAGGTTGCTTGTTAATTCTGACTAAACGGGTGCTTAAAACGTAAGCGGTGTTTGCTCCCACAACATATCGAGGGTGTGCGGCATCTACACTAAGACGTAAAGGGTTCTGTGCTAGAGATGTTTTTTCTCGACCTGACCTGACCTGACACAGCACCTATACATAAAGTAAACAAAAGGCTGTGGTATTGATATCACCCTATGCGTGGTGGTATTGGGAGAGTGATATGTCAGCGTATTCTATTCAAAATAAGGGGTTTTGGGGTGGGAAACACGTTTGGTTTCCCTTTGTATGTATGATAAACAAATCACTGCTATTGCTTTTGCTCAGCATGTTAGCATGTATATTGGGCTCGTGGGCAGAGCATTATTTAATATTTATTTGCTCGTAGCTACTTACGATGGCAAAAAAAAAAACAAACAAAAAAAAAAAAAAAAAAAAAAAAACGCGCAATATCATCGGACAGCGTCCGTGAAAAATGTCCCTTAAACTAGGAAATAGTGGAAAGCTACGTCGATAACAAAATCATGTGTAACTGAACCACTGACCCTGTTCATTGATATAAACGGTATCCGGAAATTGCTTAGATAAAGTAATTTAATGAATGGATGGATTGCCATATTTGAGTGGTTAGTGAATTATTCTTAGCTGAGCTATCAGAAAGTTAGACCGACTCTGACAACTATAATAATTTGAATCCAGTAAGACATTATTAAACTGTTTATATACAGTACAATTTCTACTGATACTATTCAAATGAGGTTTACGGTAGAGGTACCTTCGATATCCAAAGCAAGCTTATTATTATTCCCAGAACACGAAATTTTGTGGTTATAATCCACGGATAATTTTTCATGTAAGCTAATCAAGGGACATTTATTCGTATTATTACCACCCTTAAGTAAGGGCGTTTTTTGGTGATTGATTATTAACGAAAATAGCGGAGATGATTAAACCTTAGTTTTATTGACATGCATAGATTTGAAGTTGCATGTTTACTTGGGTTCTTGAAACTTAAGGAAGACCTTGCACCTACAATATATCAATCCTCCCTTGATACCACTGCCATGACGTATGTCTTATACTTATGAATATCAACATAATACAGACAATACAGCACGGCTATAATTATCATTGCAGCAAGTTACTCTTTCTGTTTTTTTTTTTTTTTTTTTTTATAGATACTGCCAGGTTTCTTCCGAAGTACAAATACAGTTTGTTTGGGGTGAGAGAGAGAGAAAAGAACGTCTTAACACCTCTGGAGATACAGGTAGTTCTCAAGTCCAATTCCTCTAATCTAACAACTTTGTTTAAAATACTGATAGATGCTGGAGTGGAAATACCTTACAAGATTAACTGGTGTAAACTGTGGGGAAAATTATGATATATCATAACAGAAATGTTGTGGAGGTGATTAAGACATTATTACAGCTTGGAGCTATGAATGTTGTAAGGGATTGGTTTGAATAGATGGTGGTGGAAAAAATCTGGTTGGAAAAACCGTACGTTGTGGTCTCGTTTCCTACAACCAGGTTGTAACAAATACTGTGTCTAAGTTGACAATAATATTTATGAATAAAGGAAAATCATTTCTGAGAAGTGCATGTATAAAGGCTTTGTTTAAGGATATCGGAAAGATCCTGAAACAAACTGCTCAATGCCCTTATTTTTTCAAGCCTTCTCTTGGGAGATGACAAATTTATTTGGAATACAATATTCAGTGCGATTAATTCATTGAATGAAAAACAGACTATGATGAGTGGAATCACAAAATCCAGCTTTATTGCATAAAGAGACGGTGAAGTTCAAACGTTGATAAATCACCAATCAAGTACACAAGAAGGACACAAAAAGAGCATTGCCTTGTATCCAATTAATTTATATTTTTGAAATTCTCCCTTTCTCCCTTTCTTTTATATACTCCAGACAAGAAAATCTACCTATATGTTCTTAAGAATATTTATAGTGAAATATATAGTATATGTAGTTTGATTTGAAGCGTGGAATGACACGCGAAGTCAATTTTTCTCCTTATGTAATTATCTTATCGGGTTACTTATGACTTTGCTGATAAACAAATCTATAACTGATACTAGCGGTATTGTCTACAGTTGCCATTTTAGACACGATAATGCAACATTGGTAATTCAACACTACGAACGAGAAAAGGCAACTTTTAGATGACACTGTCAACATAACATACATGTCACGTAGCCTTGTGCAAAAAAAAAAAAAATACCCGACGAAGTTGTTGGTATTTCTTTATGTGGATTGAACCCACCGTTACGAAATATGCTGCTAGTCTCACTTATGACTAAAGTACATTGTCGCAGTGCATGATTTTAAATCCTAACCCAATACATGTACATAAACAGACTCCTGGATATGTTAACATTTAAACGTATGTAAATTCATTTAACAAGCAACAATTAATTGAAATCACCATCACCACATTATTTTAGAGAAGCATAACATATATACAGACGGTATTCGTATCATGATTAAAGATATGGTTTGAGCACTCAGTATTATCAGAACAACTATAACATACATACATTACACGTACATATAACTGTATGTTAATCCAAGGGACATGCAGAAACCCACCAAAAATGAATATAATTGAACAATTCACCTTTGTAATGAGTCTTACTATTTTACGAAAACTATAATAATGAATAACTCTGATTATACTGTTTTCAATATAATTACTATAATAATTCCTCATTATGACAGTCATTGAAAAAATATTTTTGAGGCATGTCCAAAACCCAAAACTAAACAAAAAAGTAAAAATTGTTACAGGATGTAGAAATGAAACATCAAAACATTTCTGTGGATATTTTATAACAATTCCATGCAGATTCCTACATTAATGACAAACTATTCTAAAATATATGTGCATGTAATCGATGTAGTTACTGTAAATAATTATCAACCTTCTGGAGGATATAGGCATAATGAATATGCATTGTTTTTCCATAATATGCAAAAAATACAGAAAAACGTTAGTGTTATATAGATCTCTACACATCGTTATGTCTCGAGTCTGTTGCTTAATTCAGTACAACCAAGGTAGAAGCAATATACTGATAACTTGTCAAACGTTCTACCACAAGTCAAATAAAAACACAAGTCCTGTTCAACAGTGACCTTCACTCGGCCATTGCAGAGGACGAATCCGCATCCCCACAAATGCCCTTCCAAATGAGACCATACTTCAGCACAGCTCCAGCACTACCGTTATCATCTTTGCTGGCGTTGCCCATGAAGCTGTCAAGTGGAACTTCTAAAGATTCCAGGTCTTCAGAGACGTAGCATTTCAGATACATTAGCTTCCCGCGGGGTGACGTGACGCCATTTTTGCTCGATTTAGTGGGTTGGAGGGAGGAATGGAACTTTTGGAACTCGTCCTCTGGCATGGCCCACAACCCATTCAATAACGAGGCATATTTATCTCTGACTTTGTCTGTAATTAAAGCAAAGCGGTTTTGTAGAAGGTGTGAGATTTAATCGAGATGAGTGGTTTAGTAATACATATGGTATATAAATAGCAAAATAAAGATGATTTATGATTTAACATACATAAACAGCCAAAGTACAACAAGAACAGATCATATATTTTTAATTCTACTAACCCAGACAGGCGTTCAATTGATGGTCCTTCAAAGCCTTGAACAGGTCATGGACGGTCGCTCCAGCCGTCCTTTCTTTCCACAGCCACAGAATCTGGAAGGATTGCTCCTGAGCATCGCGTTGGTACTCGTACTCTATGTTGTCCAGCTTGGCGTCTGGGATTCCCAGCTGTGCACGTGCCAGCATGCGGACATCTTTGAGAGACACGTGGTCACTTATTGCCATAATCATCTCGCGGAGAAGATAGGCCTAGAAAAAATAGCATTGATCTTAACGCTTTAGAGCTTGACTGAGCATGTTGACCCATAGAAAAAAATAATAAAAGAGAAAATTAAAAGGGAAACAAAAACGGAAAATAAAGATAGAAAAGGAAGCACATTATGGCTTTTCCCTGATTACTTTACAACTGAAGAATGATTACATCATTTGACAGGACTAACCTGTATTGGTGGCAAGGCATATCTATGCAGCACTATCTTAACGTGTTCATGGCCCTTTTTTTCAGCCTTGTCATATGCTGTTTCTTTGTGCTACAATAGGTAAGGTTCAACTATAAACATTCAGTCGCATCATTTACATAACTTCGATTTTGAAATTTGACATATTGTAATTTTTACACGAGTGTGGAGAATCAACATTTACAAGAAAACATTAACAACAGTATGCTTACATCTACAAGGGACAAACGTATTTGCAAACAAATAACCCAATGATTGGGAAAGGAATCATAATGTGCCTGTATGATGTACCATCATCATCATCATGTATGTTACCAACCAAGTCAGGGTATTTTGTCTATATAATATTATGTGTCCACAAACCTCAGCGGTGATATGAGGATCAGCTCCATGCTCTAGGAGAAGCTTTACGGAGTCTTCATGGTCGTACATTGCTGCCATATGTAAAGGAGTTCTGCCCCACTGGTAACAATAAATAACTACTATAATGATAATATCCGACGTTGTCTTTCTTCACATTTCATTCATATATTTTATGTGTGCTGATAAAGGTAACACTGAGTTGAAATAATACAAGTTTATATTCAACACTGAAACGCTTCCTTTGCCAACGTGAGCAAACAATCTAAAGAAGGAGAAATCATACAGTGCGTATATAAAGAGGCACTTCAATATTTGCATGTGATGTCCTGTCTCATGTTTTCATTATTTACATTGTATTAACTTATTGTTACCAAACAATAATAAGAGCAAAATGTATCAATTCTTTGCAATGAAATAGTTGGAGTATACACACTTTAAATGTATCAAACCAAACAACTAACTCCAGGGTACTTTGTTTATATAACATTATATGTCACTTACCTTATTCGTGATATTAGGATCAGCTCCATGCTCCAGGAGAAGCTTCACGATATCTCCATGTCCTCCACACGCTGCCCAATGTAAAGGAGTCAAGCCCATCTGGTAACAACAAATGATCGGCATAATGATATCATCTCATGTTGTATTTCTTCACATTTTATTCATTTATTTTAATTATGTGTTGGATTAACTAACGTTTAGATTTAAAAAAAATGCTCAATCTATATCAGCAGTCAAATGCTTACAGGACAAATGTTAACAAATAATCTAATAACGAAATAAATATAATAATGTGCAAATAAAGATAATACATTTTATTAATGCAAGGAAAGGAAATGAATTAATTTGCACCTTACTGTTTACGTGTAACACCAGTCCCATGTTTTCTTTCTTTACATATCTTTTCACTCATTATAACCAGATAAAAAGTAAATAATAAAACAAACAAATTAAAGAAAAGTTTATGAGAAAATAATGGAAGTACATGTATACCCTCCTTATGTCTATCCAACTAGTCGACAAAGCCCACGGTAATTTATTTATATAACAGTATATGTACGTGCCACAAGCCTGATTAGTGATATTAGGTATTACTTTTGGCTTAATTACTTTTCATATTGTTCTTAAATGTTAATTATATGATAAAATAAACAAGTTTAAGTAATTATTCTAAACATTGTTTAAATGAATCATTTATTCAACAAAATCCAGTGTACATGTATGTTACCAACCTACTAAGGGCATTTTGTGTATATAATATTATGTGTCCACAAACCTTATTGGTGATATTAGGATCAGCTCCATACGCCAGGAGAAGCTTCACGATGTCTTCATGGCCTTTATCTGCTGCCTCATGTAAAGGAGTACTGCCACACTGATAACAACAAATGACCAGCATTATGATATCATGTCATGTCATCTTTCCTCACATTTTATT